ATGAGCATTGTCTCTTGTTAGATTAGTTAATGTATTTTCACTGCTTGCATTTCCTGGAAAAATAAGTGGAACAGGTTAGAAATTCAAATACTTGCAATTTGAAAACATTGTCAGAGTCTTGCTGGTTTGACATACATATAGCAAGCAACATGCCTTTTGGTTGTTTCCTTTATTAAGTTTTTTTTGGAAAGTTGCCAAAACAACAGATTGTCTCTTGTTAGATTAGTTAATGTATTTTCACTGCTTGCATTTCCTGGAAAAATAAGTGGAACAGGTTAGAAATTCAAATACTTGCAATTTGAAAACATTGTCAGAGTCTTGCTGGTTTGACATACATATAGCAAGCAACATGCCTTTTGGTTGTTTCCTTTATTAAGTTTTTTTTGGAAAGTTGCCAAAACAACAGTTTGTTGTAATCACAGTGCACTGGAAACCATTCCATAGATCACAATAAATGAACAGTTCAGACTGTAATTTTAGCACACCAATTTAACTGTCAAGATGAACAAAGTGAGATAGATATACAACACACTGTTTAAGAAGCTTGTTCTGATCAGTCTTTATAGCAGAGTACAAAACCAAAGATACTTTTGCAGAGATAACTGCAAGATACTGAATAGATAGGAACAGTCTAGCTGAGGCTTTCATTTGTTAAGGCGCAGTAGAAGTTGAGGTCTATAGGCAAAGAGCTCCTTTTAGTTTAGACGCTGTTACGTGTTGAACATGCCGATTTGCCTTAATACTCAGTTTTATTTTACTTTTTAAAAAATACAACCAGAAAACCCTTGAATCTGTATCTTGATTTTTTTTTTTCTTTTTTTTTTTTTTTTTTTAACCCCCCTCATTATGTTTTTTTAATATGGTTGTAAAATGTAGTCTAAAGGCTTGCAGGCACTTTCATGCTTTACAGATTTTGGTAGGCCTTTTTTTAGATTTCTATATTAGAAAACCGTGTACTTCTTAAAAAAATAACAATAGTCTTGTAACATCCATAGGTACAATAGACCCAAGCTCACCATACACCATGATGTCACCCAGTCAGCGTGCAGGGAACTGGCCAGGATCTCCCCAGGTCTCTGGTCCATCACCAGCAGCACGAATGCCTGGAATGTCACCAGCCAACCCTTCCCTTCATTCACCTGTCCCAGATGCCTCTCATTCCCCACGAGCTGGAACAAGTAGGTTTCTTTATCAGTGTTGACTGTGAAACACTCACATCTAACATTTCTAGTTCTGTTCTTTTTGGCAGTTTTGTGTGTTAGCCTAACAGCCCTTGTGCAGTAAAATATCTAAAGAAATGAAGCCTTTATTCTGTCCTTGTTCAAGTCTTCTGTAACAAACTGGAAAATGAATTAAATCATACAGCATAAACTTGAGCAGGATTGATACCTCTTGTTGCACTGCAGAAATTAGTCTTAAACTATTGAGCTCTGTGACTGAGAGAAAATTCTTCAGAATGAAAGCAATGATAGGCATATTTGCTTACCCAAATACTAACTTTTCACATTATAGGGTTGTAATGCTGCTCTTGCACGACTGATTTAGCCATCTTTACATCTCACTGAGTTTGTTGTACAAGCCTTTCTGCTGGCACGCTGCAGAAAGAGGAAAAGGGAGTAGGATTTTAATGTTACTGAGAATCCTTGCACGGGTGGAGGCTCAAAACTCCAATTCTTTGACTTTGTCTATCTGTTGCTTATCACTAGGCAGCCAAATTCTTAAATAAGAAGGATTAAGCTTTGGCCCAGAGAACTCTTTGCTTGTATAGTGACAACAAATAAAGTGAACACATATCTTATGTTTCAGCTTAAATCCTTCCTTACTGCAAGTACTTTTTCTGTATCAATAGGTTCCCAAGCAATGCCGACTAGCATGCCTCCACCTCGTAAACTACCTCAGCGCTCTTGGGCTGCATCCATACCTACAATCCTCACCCACAGTGCCTTGAATATTCTGCTATTGCCCTCTCCTACCCCTGGGCTTATGCCGGGACTAGCTGGCAGCTATCTTTGCTCCCCTCTTGAGCGATTCCTTGGATCAGTTATTATGAGAAGGCATCTTCAGAGGATCATACAACAGGAAACGGTATGGTTTAGGTTGTTTTAACATTGACCTGCGAGTATGACTTCACAACTGTTCTTTTTCATGCTTCTGTACTCCATGCCTTTCAAATCAGGCACAAACTGAATGCTTTAAATATAGTGAGTATTTAATGTTGGACTTGTGCTGTACTTCTGAAGCTTGCCATCTAAAGCGTCAAAATTTAGAAAAAGCATTTAGTTCTGCTTCTTTTCCACACAAATTAGAAGTGGAAAGCCTGTTTGGTCAGGTGAAATTTGATAACGCATATGGTAGCAGGACTATGATCAGTTTTTCAAATGCCGTGGCTTCTGTGAGTTTAGCACGCCCATTAGGAGTTGACTGGAACAGCCACAGGGTTACTATGGATGCAACTACTTGGCAAGAGTGCCCAAGAAATTAGTTACTAGTTGACAATAACTGAATACTCAGTCATGAATGTTGCTTTGGGGTTTGGGACGGACAATGTGCACCTCTTCACTTCTTTGGCATTGATTCAGTGACAGAGAAAGAAGCCAAATCTTGCATAAGCTTCGTTCTCAAGGCAATTTTACCTGTATGCAAATATCATGTGTTTCTTTCTGGAAAGAGGGCAGATTGATCACTACAGTCTTGGGAGTGAATGCGTGTGTGTATGTTCATGCTATTTAACAAATGACTGATTGAATGTGATACTTCTTTTTATGCAGCTACAATTAATAAACTCCAATGAACCAGGTGTAATTATGTTTAAGACGGAGGCATTGAAGTGCAGGGTTGCTCTCAATCCCAAAACCAACCAGACCTTGCAACTGAAAGTAACGCCTGAAAATACAGGACAGTGGAAATCAGAGGAGTTACAAGTTTTGGAGAAGTTCTTTGAAACAAGGGTATGTATTCAAGTCATTGATGTTTAAATTTTTGTGCATTGCTTTTAATATCTGGTGGTGTTTTGAGTGGTACTGCTGACTTTCATTGGCATGTGTAAGGGCTGCAAAATTAACAGCTGTGCATGCTGGTTGCCGTATTAAATGATATAGCTAGTATCTAAATAGGCAGTACTAAATAATATCTTTCTTTAGGTTGCAGGACCACCTTTTAAAGCGAACACCCTAATAGCCTTCACAAAATTACTAGGGGCTCCAACGCACATCCTCAGGGACTGCGTACACATCATGAAACTTGAGCTGGTAAGTTAACCGTTCTATTTAGTTCACCCAACTTTGGTTATTATATTTTTAAAAAAAGGTGCTGTATCTTTATCTATAAACACATAAATTACTCTAAATTTTTATATA